GCGCTGATGCCGCGGCTAAGGCTCTGAGGATCTGCTTTATTTAGTGATGGACTTCAAAAAAAAATTACGACAATTCCAGAGTTCCTTCTGGATAGACCAAGGAACAGGGCAGTTCTAGCTCCTCTCCAGTTAAATGCAATAAGCCCCAGATTGCACACCTTGCTCCTGGTTGTGCTGTCACCTCGTGCACCGGCTGATGGCTTTGCTGCCCACCCTGGAGCTCGCTCAGAAGAGCAGGAGGAAGCCGTCCTGGCAGCACGGGCTCTGACCTGCAGTGTTCTGTCTTTCAGGAAGCCCTGAGGAACGGTTTGGTGGCCACAGAGGTGCTCATGTGGTTTTACATTGGCGAGATCATAGGCAAAGGCGGCCTCATTGGATACAACGTCTGAAGAGCGTGCTCGGTAGTCCCGCGTTGCGTCCTCCTGCCCCCAGTCTGTAACAGTACCTAAGAAAATAAAAGCTGGAACTGATGCAGAATTGTGGTGGTCTCTTTGTGGCGTGTGGGACGTGAGCCCGTCCCCAACCTGTGCCCACGCTGCTGCGATGGAGACGGGCTCCACTAAAGCGCCGCTGCCTGAAGCCCTTCCCTGCCGCAGGCCGGGACCCCGACCCGCTTCCGCCTGTGGAATCCTGTGAAATGGGAATCTCTCCCAAGCAGTAGTAAAGCTGTCCTTGGTTGAAACTCAGGTTGTTACCTCTGTAGTAGTTCTTGGCATACGTGTGTCCTGTTTCACTGTGCAATCTGCTTTGGTGTTACAGGAGTCTTGAAACCCGGAATTCTCAATTTGCAGTACAAATGGTTTCATTTGCTCCTGGCATTCACTTAACAGTAGCCATAGTGGGAGCCAGAAAGAAATCCCAGTGTTTCAGCCTTCACAAGGTACCTTGGCATCGGAGCTAGTGTGGTGCAGAGCATCATTCGCACCCGCTCCGCTGCTCCGAGGAGGAACCGGCTGCGCGGAGATCCCTGAAGGTAAGCAGAACTAGACGTGTTACCTTACATCGCAAGCTGCCACGGGTGTAAGCTCTCCAGGAGGTCTCAGCTCTGTGCACTTTCTGTAGAGGGATCTGCAAAAAGATGGGTAAGATGAACCGCCCTGGAGCACGGTCCCTTTCAAGGTTTTCAGGAAAAAAAAATTATAATATGCTGCAGTTGTTTAAGGAAGGCTCAGGTTAGGACAAAACAGGCACCAAAAATGCCAAATCCACCTTCCTCCAAAGTAAAGACTGAGCAAGCTTTGCCTTTGGGATGCAAAGGAGCTCGGTTGGGCTTGCTGACGGCAGCTCGGCCTGCTCTTGCGGAGCACAGAACTCGGCTGGGAGAAGGCGACGGGAGCTCCGGCGCCCGCCCTCCCGCGAGGACCCGTCGCCAAGCGGGTGCCGGCGATCATCGCTGGGG